TATTGTGAAGTACCTGGCTAGAATATTGGAGCGGGCAAACTCGTATACGGAAAATGATACGACACCTACGAGCACGTTTTATGACGTAATGGAGGAAATTAATTATCAGATCAATATAAAACAGGAAATTAATAAACGATAACAAAAACCAGATATCAATGTCTTTATACGATTTCATAATCTAATTTTCCTCGTACCATAGATTATTTTATGTTACTTCGCGCATGATTAATCAAATTCCGGATATATTCCATATTATCAGCCATTAACGATACTATTTTAATTTGACTTCGATGGATATTAATAATATTCGCTAAATTCATATCTCACTCTTAATTTTCCATCGAATCTCAGAAACTCGATGGAGCATCAAAATGTCATTTTCACACCGAAACAATAACGACAACAAATTTTACCATTTCCCTTTAAAAACGTGGTCAAGAACCGTCAATCTTCTCACAGCACGAAAAAATCAAAGGATTACTTGATCGTGCACCGTGAAAAGTATGCCGGCGGTGGTAACATCACGGCGTGCTACAAAAACGAAAGTAACGACGAATAACGATTAGGCTTCCCGGCACAATGGGAGGATTTTATGTGCCGTCAGAAGGTGCAAGTTCAAGAGAACCATTCGAGACGTCCGGAAACGAAGGTGCACACGGTGTTCATAACCGGTGCAACCGCAGCGTCACCGCAAATCGTACTCTTGGCACTGGGGGGCAAAATGAGAACAAATTCCGTGGGTTTAGAGTGTTACGTGCACAGATCCAGCGGAGAATATAACTGTTCATCCAGTCGACACTTACGAACTAATAGCCCAAATGACCGGCCATTATCCATGTCCACGACCACTCGCTAACTGTATTCTGCGTACGAAAAATTGAGCACAGGACCCTTAAGTGTGTATCTGTTGGACGATAGGATCGACGTAACGGGCAACTCGTGCTCGTGTAATAATAAAAGTTCATTAGGATAATGCGGTCGATGGTTGTTCGCGCTCGACGTCCAACGAGATTGCACTTGCCTGATAAAAATGATATGCGTTTCAGTTGTATTACTCTGGTAGACTCCAGACAGAGATTAACATTCGTCGAGAGTATTTAGAATTTTTTTTAAACGGCGACAGTTTTTGAGATAGAGCTCGTTTGAGGCTGAACTTGGATCGAATTATTCCCTTGGAAAGTAAACACGCGAAACACCTGTTGAATGTGGAATTGAAAAATTGCGAATGTATAGAAAAAGGACGTAAAATTATGAATTTTGCGCAATTTTCAGAAGTAAATTTATCTCGTCAATTTCTGTACAATAGTAATCAGCGTGTAACAAAAGTTTCCAGACTCTGGACTTAATATTTTATTACGACAGAACGGATGAGAGTAAAAAGGAAACGCTGCTAAACGACGACAAATGTCTAAAGTGTTTTTAAACGTAAATCAAAGCAAAGTTAATTTATTTAAAAATCTACGTTACTCTACTACGAAGAGTTCAAACATTTCAAAGCACGTAAAACGAAACGTATTGTACGATATATTCCCGTAAGATGATTACGACGGAAAATTGTTTCGCGCAAACGAACCGTGTACGCGAGCAGTGATTTCATATCGTTAAAGAATCGTTTATCCCGACGATAACATTTTGCGTTTGAAAGGGGTGAAGAGCTCGGCGAGGTGTGGGAGTCGTAAAGTCAAAGAAGCACCGCAAACGGCGCTTGGGTAAAGGGTCGCCTCGCTTCGCTTTAACCCCGAAGGTGTTTCGACCCTTCGAATGCGTTTCTGGTGAATCACCACGAGTCATCTCAGGCCGGATTCTTCGACGGTACACGTACCCCTTGTCTGGTATGCAGATACTTCCTCTTCCCAGAAGAAACTTTCAAATTTGACGCTTGCATACCGAAACGTGTCGGAGCTCTTTCGAAATTTCTGACCTAGAAATTGTCACGTCTCGTATATCTTCTAGCCATAGTTAAAAATATTTGTAATATGTGATTTATGAGTAGACTGCAGAGGTTTGTGCAATTGCCACACATTAAAGCTAAAGTAAATTGCAAGTTACACAAAAATTTCAAGAATTTCAAACAAAGAAATATCAAATCTATTTCTCATTTTCAAAAACTAATCATTAACCACCTGTCTATTTCTGTTCCCCCGAGTCGTTCCTATCAAGTCGCCTAACCCCTATTTAAGGATCCCGAGAAGGGACCAACGAACGATATATCAAATCCTCGCTTCCTCCCGCGTTATCCTGGAGGCTAAATTCAAAATCACACGGGTGGAATCAGAAAATTTCGTAACAAAGAAACACGCGAAAGAGGGGAGGACGACTGACTCTCTCTGGTTCGAAGAGGTTCGCCTCCATGTTCCTGCGAACTTGTCTCGAAAACTGTACCCTTTGCCTGCGGCAATTAACTCTCGAGATTGCTAATTAACCCGTGAGAACACCTGGGAGGAACCGACGCGTATTCCGCCGGGTGTTCTCGTCCCAACGTTCGAATGCGTCGCGTCCCCGTCGTTCTACGCATCCAACGAGTAAGTAAATACTTCCACGAAGTTCTACTCGCTGTACATTTACTACAATGAACCTGCAACGACGTGGAGGGGTACTTTCCGTTCCCTCGACCAATCACCGAACACCTGAGAACGTGTTTCTTAGAGGAGAAAGGTGTGCGGGCCCGTTACGATCGTTGTCTCTCTATCGAAGTTCGATTGGACGGGAAACGTGGATGAAAATCTGTCGATAACGTAGTAACTCTGATGCTTTATCACGATTTCGTTTGTTTATTAGAGTCGACATGAAATTATTACGTTATCATAACCATTGGGAAAAGATCTTTTGGTGACATTTGTGCATTACGATGATACGAATTGATCGGAGAAAACAATGTCAAGTATGAGAAAAAATTTTGTTTAAGAAAGAAATATTGATAAGAAGAGAAAGGTAATAGAAAGAAAATTCAATCGATACTGAAAAATCACTTGACAACTACTTATTACAATTATATTAATATCGTAGAGAAAGATTTGTACAGTTATGAACTAATTGCTACTGGATGTTCAATAAACAAAATACAGTATAAAAGATGACTTAAAAATAATTATACCTATTCCTATCAGCCGTCAAAATAAACCGAACTAAAACGAAAAGTTGTCTCACAAAGAACTACGTAGTCCGATGATTTCACCTTTATATCTACTTCATAATGGACAAACTGGTTTCAGCGGATTTAATGTGTCTCACGAAATGACATAAGCCTAGCAAATCACACCTCTCCATTTCGAAAATCCAAAGTGACCCAAACGTAAAAAAGACAAAGTGCTTCTGAAATGTTTCGTCCAACTTTAAAAATACAAATTCGTTGCAAAATAAAATAAAAACCTAACTCGCCGCAACAAAATCATCCCTTAGAGAAAATTTCTCAAAGTTACTCCGAGAAACGGTTCAATTACTTCTTGAAAGAGGCGCCGTGTTTAACGGCACTAGAAATTTTACAAGGCAAACATCGGTCAGCCATCCAACAATAAAACAGAAAGGTACTCCTTTTCCCTGAGATTAGATTACCCACGGGAGATTGGCGCGGTAACATGAAGTGGACACGCTACGCGGCAACCGTAAGGCAATCCTTATTCGTCTTAAGCTCTCGAGAGCTTCCAGCCTAGACGCTTTTATCTCGAGAGCGGAGTGTACAACCCCGCTCTTCTTCATTCTCCGCCCGGGGTTTTCATTATCGTCGTGGGAGCCGCGGATGCGACTCTACTCGTCGAATCGCACGATCAAAATCACTCGATGCGACGACACAGTCCCCGACGCGTGTATGCACGCGAAAACCACTCAAGGCTGTCCGCTTTTGTTGCCGAGCCATCGGAGCTCATCGATACGTAAAGATGTCAAGGCGGTTTTTAATGAAACTCAGATCTGCCTAGGGCTTTCGTCGTAGAGTCACTCGATGGATGCAGTGTTTTTGATCATTTCGCGATGATCGATCTTCTGCGATTTGTGTCGGTTCTTTGAACAGTTTGCCTCTTTTATGTTGGTCAATTATTTCATACCTTTGTAGTCTTCAGTCTTGTAAATTGAAACGCTGTGCCAGAGTCACTCGATGGATGCAGTGTTTTTGATCATTTCGCGATGATCGATCTTCTGCGATTTGTGTCGGTTCTTTGAACAGTGTGCCTCTTTTATGTTGGTCAATTATTTCATACCTTTGTAGTCTTCAGTCTTGTAAATTGAAACGAAAGCTGATCTTTGTTGCTAATTTAACTGTTTTTGTCACATCTTGATAGAATCTGTGATACGAGTTTGAGTTTCTGTTGTAAGGCAAAGGTTAAGGCAATTTAGTAATATTTTTGTACATTTTTTCAGCGATACTTCAAACTGCATGCTCTACTTAGTATGTAGCCTTTTTCCGATTGCATTAGAGCATCGTGAAAGTATTTATAGTTCCGGTCTTTCCGTATTATTTCCCTATTTTATACTTTGAAATATTGATAACAACCACTGTTTTCTTTAAAAACTTCCAAATATTCTGAACGTTTCATTAAATATACTAGATAATAGCACACAAAATCCTATTCTAAAAAATGCCCAAAAATTGTTCAGATAATAAAAACAAGGCTCACTTAAAAAATACATTTATCTTAATATAAAAAAACATAACGACTTTGAATTAACACTTGTATTAAGATAACAAGCCTAATTGCAGTCATCAAACAATAAGCTAAGTCCTTAATAAATTCCACACATTTCCACTGTGAATTCTACGAACACAGAAACGCATCTTCGTTTCAATACACGTGCAACCAAACAAACGTTCACGAATATACTCTTCTTTCACGGGCAATTTGCACGTTTCTTCGCGTGTCTTAGTAAATAAGTATCTTAGATTCTCTCGTCTGAAGAGAGAAACGCATTTAACCAGGTCCTGTGTGATGTCGGTTCTTAATAAGGTTCCCCGTCCCTTTTTTCATCTTCCTTTTTCTCCACGGGGAAAGATTCATCTTGCTTACCTTGAGGGCGCAGAAGATGCAGGATTCTCGCATGCAGGCGTGTCCAGAAAGCTCCCTGAAGCTTCGCCGGAAGATGTCGAGGTGCCATAACACCTGAAACACGCGGGAGAAAATGAATTTTTACAGGAGCGTAAAAGTCAGCACCGCGGCGTGAACTTACGACGCTGACGAAACATCGTAAATTTCTGGAAAATGGCTTGTAACAAAGCTTAAACTTTGGAAATTCGAAGATTCATGGGAGTACGCCGAAGTTCACGAGGGAAGTGAACTTCCGGAAATTTTTCTTCGAAACAACCGTTTCTGAAACGGTGAGTTGTAAATTGACAGAATTACTGTTCTCGGCTAAAGTTTACAGTATTCTTCTATTTTACGTCAGACTGATAAAAAGTTGCTGCAAGAAAAATGTCGCGATACGGAATTTATGATATCGTTCCTATAAAATCACAAGATAGTACACTTTATATCCTTGGAATAATTTTTTTCAAAAATAATAAATATGAAATATAAAAATACACGATAAAATCTACTAACTATTATCACACAGTGAAGTACTATCGAGCAAAATCGTCAAATCTTTCACCTCGAAAAAAATAATAAACTTAATCTCTCTGGCAAGTTTCACCTTCGAAACTCGACAGTGCGCACAGTCTTATCGTCGCAACGACACATCACCGTCAGGGTATGCTAATTAACAATAAATCTCTGGAAAGTCTGTACGCGTGTGGGGAGTGAAAAACTGACGGTGGCGTGGGTGTGCACGCAATATGAGGAAGTATGTAAATGCGACAACGTGGTGCGTGGAACGGGGTAAAGCTCTAACCACGCACGATAGTAGCCAAGCGTATAGTGAGCGCATTATTATTCCGGGGGAAAGTAAATCACAATTTCCGCGGCCATGTCCTGTCGCATAGCGGAACATTATTTTCGCCTTTCCGGCCTCGCACCGGCTAAATATCCGGTGTATTCCTAAAAATCACGCACACCGATGTTGCAGCCAAAACAGCCAAGTTATGAAACTCATTTGTTATTTTTACATCATTTTGTTATTTTTGCATTATTGCAAATGCTTCTGTTACCGTTTGTATATACTACACCGTTAAATACTACCGGCACGTTGTTTTCGAAGGATAGTTTTCCTGGATAATTTATCGGCTCGAGTGAAAAGCGTCACGAAGAAATTGCGCGAGAGGCAATTAAGTTAATTGCAAAATTCGCGATCGTAATAAAGCACGTTTTATCGTGGATCCGATTTAATTAGCTCTAATGTGTATTTCTGGCGGAAAAAGAAAAACAACGGGAAAAAAAAAACAACACAGACGAGTGGAACGGTTTTGGCCACATTTGTGGGTCGCGCTGCTTGAAATTTATTGGAAGTTAATTCGATTCGAAGCGGTTGACTTGATTAAACGGGGAGAATTGGTGCGTTGTAAATACTAATTAATTTTTTCGACGTCCTGACGTGTATTTTCCTTCGATTCAGAAGCGGAAGAAACTAAGCTCCTAGTCATTTTGCGAATATTCGCTCGAGGGCAAATTAAACGGCTTCTGACGATACTCTTCATTCGTTAATTAGTCCGAGCGAATTAATTTGTCTTCTAAAATGCACTTCCGGTTTCAGGCTTGCTTGTTTTCTCGAAGGATTATAGGTGACTGCGTTAGAGATAACGCAGCAAATAGGAAATAGCGAGTGTTAAAATGATTTGTGGAAAAGTTTGACAGAGAATTATTTATAATTACAAATTTTTAATATTGTAAAAATTTTATTTAAGAATAAAAATGTTATTTTCGGTTTGTTGTACTTTGAAATTTTGTGTTTTTAAATGTCCCGTCCACAAGTTGTCGAATTTATCGAATGCTTCGTAAAATCTTCTGTGTTCCCTTTTTTTTCGAACGTTATGGTAAAAAGAAAGATCGAGAAGTGGCGTGCACACATACGCGGGAAAGTGTTTTCATTCAATGGACGTGTTTTGAAAGACTCGTGGGATCTAACAGGTGAACAAGGTCCTTCTTCCAGCAGGAGCGTATCAGTATAGCTCTTTGGTCAGGACGTAGTACAATACTCAAAGGACAAGTGCACACCTGGATTACTACCAGCACTTGTTTCTTCGATGCACAAAGTATAAAAGGTGCATTTGAGCTTTTGACAATAGAAGTGGAAGTAAAATTGAAAAATTTGTAAACTTGAAATTGTTAGATATTTAATTTAACAATTTGCAAACTTTCAAGCTTGAATTTGTCGGATATTAAATTTAACAATTTTCAAAGTTTCAAACTTTTAAATTTGGAATTTTCAAACTTTTTCAAACTCTAATGTTTCTTAATCCTTTTTATATCAAAATACAGATGACCTACTTCGTTTCCTTTTCCAAATGTTACGCAAGTAAATCAACAAACTTCAAAATGTTCTCCAAGGCAGTTTTAATAGTATTACGCACTTTTCTACTCGTTATAAAAGCATTCAGAAAGAAATCTCATAGAAATTACATCAATTTACGCCTTACAATTCCAGACTGTGCTAAATACCTAATTATTGTTGCATGACTCCGAACCATTCGTTCAGATATTCTCCGTGAAACGTACCAGTATTTAAGTTTTATTCTTTCACCAACAGTTTCAACCTTGTTACACCTTTCTCGAAATTACATTGTACCGTAACTCAGAATCACAGAATGTAAGGCCAACCCAAAATTAAAACACAAATACATTCACACGTTTCTACGTAAACAGAAAAATATACGTCAACAAAATTCAACTCTAAACATTATCTACATTAAATATCCTCACAGTATTATTTTCCAAAGAAAATTATTACTTTTAAAATATGATTTACATCGTATAATATACCTTTCTTTGTTTCATTATTGACCATTTTACCTATCGTTGCAATACGCGATCAATTTTTCCGAAACCTCGAAGACAAACCAACAAACAAGTGTTCCAACTATAATTGCAAAAGCTCATCACGACAAACAGTGCAACGTAATTTTTTTCACCTGATTACCTTGACCCTCTCTCTCTCCTCAATGCTACGAAAACTTTGAAACTTCACACGGTGTTGAACGCGTATTATAATACACCGATTTCATCACGAAAGTGGTTGGTTTCCCACCAGCATATCTGATTTGCATACGTAACCGACAATTTCGCGCGATTTCCATACAAGATCGACTGGCTGCGGTGGAGTAATCGTGAAAACATCTAAATGGAAAAGCTGTCGCGGCGCGGAAACGCATTTGATCTCGTGCTGCTCCAGAAACGCGTTCATTCACAATCGCACCGATGAAAGGTGACGGGAAAACGAGAGGAAAATGGATCGCCGCGTTATATACCACCACTCGCAGGTTTCTTGCGACTTAATGAACCGCGCTCTATGCTCGCCGCCGCTGTTATTATCGATAAACCGCACGAACATCGACCACCCCGCCTTTCGACTGTTCCTTTCGAAACGGCCACCAACCGCGGGACTAATTAAATGTGTGCCAACTCCCCAGTTCTCTGCATTTTCGAGCATTCTTCGCACTTTACAACGTGTGAGAGAAGAATATACGAGAGAAAATGGAAATTTGGAAGTTTACAAGATTCGAGTATGCAACTAATTAACATAGAATTACTAATTAATTTTTTGGATCGGTGGTTTTTGCTTGGGTAATGTCGATGATCGTTTGAGCTTACGTAAACAAGAGTTCGACTGTGATCCATAAGTGGGACAGTAGAATAATCTTTTTTAATAAAAGTTTTGACATTTATTTTTATTAGAAAATATTATAAATTGTTGCTTGTGAAGTTTTCAACGAGCAACATGTAGATTATTCAATAATAAATAAATTCGTCAGAGGCGAGGTAAAATGTATGTCATTTTCCCGTTGTGAAAGATTCAATTCGAGGGACTGGTTGTGAGAGAGACTTTATAGAGAAAGCTTCACGTGCCTATAAATGGAAGTTTCTAAAACTTTATCATAACTCATTATCTCGAAGCATGCTAATGATCAATTAGCACTGTATCACGAATATAGAAAAATGTAGATACTAGAAACCCTCGACAATTTCGTAACAGTTCGCCACAAGATTTTCATACCGATCCTTAAAATCTTTCTTCACCATAATTCAAACACGTACAACAAACATACAACATCATACATTCGAACATATTGCCAGGTCCATCTCTCTCTAAAACCAATCATAATAAACCTCTAAAAGTGACCACAACTGCAACCCTAAACTCACGTCCAAACCCTCAAACTCCTCTCAACCCGTTTAAACACACCCAAACAACAAATTCCCAGATGATCGAGTAAAACGAATGTTCGTATCAACAGGATGATTGAAATGAGCACGACCAGAGACGTCGAATCAACAGGTACAGTCTCGAGATCGAGATGCATGTAACGGTATACGCGTTATTCCAGCGTATCGAACCGCACCAGAGAGAAGCAATCTCTTGCACACCGGTGTATACACGGTGTACAGATTTATCAAGAACGAGAACGTGGAAGAAAAGTCGAACCTTGGCGATCTGGAAGAGAGCCTGCCTCCTTGGTCTCTGCTGTTCCTGCTTCATCCTCGTCACTCTTGAAGATCACGTACGATCGCTCTCTTCCCTCGTAGCACAGCGTCGCGCGACGTCTCCTTTCAACGTCCACCGATAACGATTGCTTAAGATCATCTACGATCGATCCTCGGTGGACTCGTGGCACTGTACATGATTCAGGCCGGTGCGTTTTTAATTGCTAACACGAGCGAACACTGGACGGACACGCGAGGGTTGCGCGCAAACCAACAAGTACTCTCTTAGCCGGGCGTCGGTGCAACAATGCCCGGATAGGGCTGGGACCGCTCCGCGCCGACAGCAGCGCTCATGGGACTCCTGCGGACAGGTTCGGAAGCAAGCGGTACCCGGCAAACGCGCTCTTCGAGCTACAGTAACCGTCGTGCTGGCTATAGTACAGTGGGTTTCATAGATTCGTTCTGGCGACACGTACGAGTCGTTAAAATTTAAAGATATGAAGGATTTTTCAGGAAAAGTTACTTTTTTTAAAGTAGGAACAGCGAAAACAGGTAAATGGAGATTCTTTGGAAATTGGTTCAACGAAGCT